TTGGAGGTAACCATTGCTAACAAGAACACAATGATTGGAAGTGCTTCTTCCCTCCTTTTATAGCAATCAGTCTGCTCTTACAATCTAATTAATATGGTAGGGATTAACCTGACTAATACTCATTCACACTTTCACGTGCTGCTGATTTGATTAGTCAATTAATGTTAGCTGGTCATTTTGTGTCAGGATAAAAAAAACAGTGTTTTTTTTTGCAGCAAACTTTGCAAAACACAAAATTTATGTCACTGCCAAAACTTTTGGCCATGACTGTATTAGTGTTATATTTCATCTCTACTGTGCACTGTATGTATGTCATCATGTATGTCTGCACTATGTCTGTAATTTCTTCCGCACTCAAAGCAGACAAATTCCTTGTGTGTGTAAACATACTTGGCAATAAAGCTATTTTTGACGTTTGGAAAGCCCACCCAGTTCTTTAGCTGGCTTGCTAGTTCCTTTTTTCCAGTGTTGCATCGTACTATGGGGGAACACACCCCAAAATATCAGAGACTTATATATATTATATACATATAAGTCTCTGATTGGTTGGATCGGGGATGAGGGTTGAACACCCCTGATCTAGTATAATGATAGGAGTTTTGCACACATATTATCTAAAGAAAGGATTGTAGAGGATTGGTTATAATATACATGTATTATAAATTAGTTTACATCCGTCACTATTCCTTCTGATATTAACAGGTGTTAGTTGATGTTGTTGTTTCATTTTTGTGCGGTTTTAGGTGTGACAAACGGAAGAAACAGACAGAGATAGAAGCTCTCAGTGCTGCCCACGGTTCATCTGCACTCTTCCTGAGGTGCCAACTCTCCATCTCAGCCAGACTGTGTAGGAGAGATTCTTCTATTCCTGCTCCGTCACAGGGTTTGAGTCTCCAGCAGCGCTGCAGAGGCCTGTCGCTGCCTCATTACAGTGGACCCGGTAACTCTTACTCAAAGGGTCTTGTGGACGCAGTCAAGTCATGTGTTTGATGGGGTTTGAGACAGATTGATCCAGTGGCAGCCTGTCTGCTTGATGTATGGAAGTTGGTGTGGATTTGAAGTTCATCAGCTGTCAGTGAACCGAGGAGCATTTTGAGCTGCAGGACTGACTTGATTTCCGTGGGTAATCCAGGACTGCCCTTTAAAACAGTCAATTGTTTGTGTGTTGGTGTCTGTGCAGACCATGTGAGACAGACATAATGCACAGCTCTGTGTCCACTGCAGTTTGTCATAGAACAGGATTCACCAGAAATTTAAAGAAACTGGTGGCTCTTCATTTGAGTAATACAGTGGCATGTGCCAGCGTGAGCTCTTCTGCATGTGATTGAGCATAAAATGACTAAGAGCTTTCAAAAAACATAAAAGTAATCCATGCAACCTGTAAACTAACTTTCTGTACATCATTATTCACTGAACTTGCCATATCATTATCAGTTATGTGACTAGTAAGAAACCAATCGCATTTGGAAAAATTAGCGTCAAGCCTGGTTCCATCTGTTTTCACATAGCATGTTTGAAAATGTGCAAACACAAACGAGAGTAAGGAAAAAACTGAAAGTATTGTCAGTTTTTTCCTTACAGTGCTATTGTATGTTTTCAGAAGACTTGGAACATAATGAACAACTTTTTTGGTGTTTTTCATCTTGTTTTAGTCGTTTTTTATTTTAATTAAACGGAAAAGAGCAGCATAAACATTCTTCACAATTTCTCTTTTTGTGTTCTTTGGAAGGAAGAACATCATTCAGGTTTCAAATGACATGAGGTTGAGTAAATAGCAACAGAACTATCAGATTTCAGACTAACAGATCCATTTCTGGTCAGTTTTTAGATTTAGATTTTGAATTAAAACTAATGTTTTGCCTTAAGGGAGATGACCCATATGCTGTTCCACCTTGGTAAACAAATCGTGTTGGCACAGCAAATGCTCACCCATGTGTCCTGAGATTCGACACAGGCCTTGTTGACACCATTCACTCCCCACAGAATATCATTGACTCTTACAGGCCCCTTTTGCAGCTGTTATTAACATCCATCTCAGGTGGTCTGATGTCAAGTGGGCAACACTAAATACTGGTGTAAACGGGATCCAAAATGCTGTCAGTAGCTATGATCACATGCACCCAAATGGATCAATAGAATGGAAAAGCCTTCACGCAAACACCTCAACGAATGAATTTGGTAACACTTTATTTCACTTTATTTCATTATTAGCATGCATATTGGCTGTTTATTAGCACATATTAATACCTTATTCTACATGACCGTATTTTAGATCCCTTAATCCACCCCACATCTAAACTTGCCTTGCTAACTATTAATAAGCAGCAAATTAGGAGTTTGTTCAGGGAAAACTCTCAGTTAATAGTGAATATGTGTTCTCTGATCTAAAGTGTTACCATAAATTCAGTTTTGAATGGATTGGAAAAGGTAGTGTAGACCTGAAATAATCCAATCAACAGGATAAAAAATGAAGCGTATAAACGCTCGAATCAGACAGTTTTCTATTCAGTTTTCACATTGTTTACATGCAGTGTACGTCTTACGAAAGTGCAACCGTTTGTTTTCATCTCACATCTTTTGAACTGGTTAGTGGAAGAGACTGAATATTTACTAATTATTACTAAAAATAAGTTCTTCTGACATGTGTGTCAGGATTTGTCATCACCGCAGTGGCTTTAACAGGCTCTAAAGGCGGCAACTGCGTATGCACTGAAGTTTTGTTTGGAATACATGTCATGCACATCGCAACATTAAGGGTTCATTTACACTGAACTTTCAGAATCTGAAATCGGACTGGATGCAACTGGATATTAATATCAGGAGTGGACAGTTAGGCTTTAGGTTTAGTAGTAGCCTTCTCTGAGAATGTTTTTGCTTGTCTGTGTTTTTGTTGTAGATGTAATGGATCAGCACAGAGCACTTCACTCTGGTTGTCTTGTGTCAGGGGTCCGAACTCCCCCCATCCGCCGCAACAGTAAACTGGCCAGCCTGGGACGCATCTTCAAGCCCTGGAAGTGGAGGAAAAAGAAAAATGAAAAACTGAGACAGGGCTCTACAGGTGAGTTAGAAAAAAAAAAAAACAATCTAAATGTTATATAATATTTTATAAAGATCACATGGATAATTATTTTCCCATCAAATGAATGTCATTGCATTTTAGCTTTCATGCTATTACACTATATTACTATAATTTCAGTAATAAAATGAGTAGTTCCTGACAGGTTAATGAAAAATGTAAGAAAAATCACTCAAGCAACAGTGTGATTAATTTAAATATCAACAGGCAATAAACAGTTCAATAGTTCAATAAACAAGAAGTCAATATTGAGTAACAGTTTAGACACAGTAGTGCAAGTGCAGATAATTTCAAAGCAGAATGGTAGTGTTTTTTTCTCTCTCTCTCTCTGAATGAATCCAAATTGGTTGGATGAATGATTCAGTGATTCAATCATGAAGACGTCTACTGGCGTAATGTAACCCGCAGAAATACTCTCTGAAATATCCTCACATGTAGTGCATGAACTGATAGACTGTCAGAAACAAACAGACAAGAAACAGTGGAAAGCTGCTTGTTTAGTCCAAATATTTTCTTTATTAATTGATATTATACCGCAAATGGTGTTAATAGACATACACTTGTACTGAACACTGATAATTTCTTTAATAAAATTAATTTTGAAAAATTTAATATTGACAATAAAATAAATTGTGTGTAATAATTTTACCATTTAATAAAAGCTACAAGACACTAGAGCAATGGTTCTCAACCTTTCTGACTGTCAAAGACGTAACGTACAGAAACTAGGAGTGCCAATTTAAATGAGTTTAATTAAATATTTATATGTTTATATAAATATTATTTAATTATTAAAATAATTAAAATTTTATTTGCAATGTATTTAAAACATTATTTTAAAATAATTTGTTTAGATTTATATAAATTGTTTTATTTAATAATAATAATAATAATAATAACAATGATAATAATAATAAATTTAAGTAATTAAATAAAAGATTTATAAATTATCAAAATTTTTATAAATTTAAACATGTAATTGTTTCAATTATACGGAGCCCCACTCATGGCATGCAGGAAAAAAATAGTAGGCTAAATTGTGTGCACGATTTACTATTTAGTTCCCTCAATTTATAAATTGTGCGCATGATTTACTAATTAATTCCCTCGATTTGCTAAATCGTGCACACGATTACTATTTCGTTCTCCGGATTTACTATTTCGTTCCTTCGATTTGCTAAATCGTGCACACGATTACTATTTCGTTCCCTCGATTTGCTAAATTGTGCACGATTACTATTTCGTTCCCTCGATTTGCTAAATTGTGCAGATGATTATTATTTCGTTCCCTCGATTTGCTAAATCGTGCACACGATTACTATTTCAAAAGTGACAGAAAAGATGCTTATAATGTTACAAATGATTTCTATTTCAAATAAAATCTGTTATTTATAGCCTTCTATTAATCAAAGAATCCTGGGAAAAAAAATCACCATTTTCACAAAAATAATAAGCAGCAAAAACTATTTTTAACATTGATAAAAATAAGAACTATGGAGCCCTGCACATGACATGCAAGAAAAAAATTAATAAACCGTGCGCACGATTTATTAATTCGTTCCCTCGATGTACTAAAACGTGCACAGGATTACTATTTTGTTCCCTCGATTTGCTAAATCGTGCACACGATTACTGTTTCGTTCCCTCGATTTATAAATTGTGCCCAAAATTTACTCATTCGTTCTCTTGATTTATAAATCGTGTGCACGATTTAGCAAATCGAGGGAACGAAATAGTAAATCGTGCGCACAATTTATTTATTTCTTCTTGCATGTCATGTGCGGGACGCCGTACAATTACATGTTTTATTACGACTGAATTGTGACTTTTCTTGTCATTTGTGATTACAGGGTTTAAAAAAATATATATATTATTATTATTATTATTATTATTATTATCATTTACTCACAAATAGCAGTTTCTACACAATAAAATGTTTTAGAGCTTTACATAACTAGAAAAATGTATAATGTATTATAAAAATGTCTGTGACATCGGTCTTCAGTTGTTACTTTATTTCAAAGAAAATAATTTTGTTCAAAATAAATTATAATTATTAAACATTTTTAATTTATCTCATGCACTTAAGAATGAATTTTGACAGCCCTAACTTTCATAAATGATTATTAGTATCTTTTGCACAACGCTTGATTGTGGAGACTGAAGGACTGTAGTGTTAGTGTTTGTGTTCAGCGAGATCTGTATTTAATTCTATTTGATGGCATCTGCAGGGCTGGAGAGGAAAGTGCCCACCAGGCAGAATCATGACGATCTTGTCAGGAAGGGCCTGGCAGAGGCTGGCATGGGTGAGAAACTGCCACATCACTCTTTCAGCAGTGCCAAATGCTCCCCGCTATTAGCGGCTGTTCACCAGCAGCATACACGCGTAACGGTAGCACGATCACCTTGTCCTGTTTGACCACCAGCAGAGTGATGAGGCTATTATGAGAATGTGATGACAGCCGTTGAGATTGCTGCATTTTCCCCATGCTTGCAGAGTCTGGCCTTGTGTGTGGCGGGAATACAGATGAGCCAGGAAGCCCCATGCTGGATGAATCCGACGGAGAGGAGCGAGAGGACGAGCCCATGGCGCCGCTGGCCAGCAACACAGACGATCTTGGGTCTGATGAGGACAATCTGTCCTCAGGTCAGGATCTGTGCACACATGGCCTGCAAAATGATAATTGACACTATTAACTTTATGAACACACCTTCCTGAAATTAGGTTTTCCATTAGTCAAATGGGAAAAATCTTTGTCCTTGTACTCATAATAGTTAATAGTTAAAGTCATTGTAATGTTACTGTTGCTATGTTTCAACAATAATGCTGTTGTAATTGAATGCGCCGGTGGGAGAACTTGACCTTGACCATGTTGTAAATAAAGATTATTGGAGTATGTTTTACAAGAAGACACTGTTTCAGTCTTTCTACTTCAAAATGTCAAGTTTAATTCAATGTGCCGCTTGTTGTTTCTTTGTGAAATTAGTGAAATTTATTAGCAATTTCAGAGTGAAAATTGTTTCAAAGTAAATCATACACCAATTTTTTTCAGTGCAAAAAATTCACTGCAAGCTCATGGATAAAAACAGTTTCCATCTGATTTCTTTCTTTCTTTCTTTCTTTTTTGTTGAATATTCTGTTTTAGGAATGGAGCTCATTAGGGAAGTCAAATGGGATGCACATGATGTTTCGTGTTGACGACACTGAAAAAAAAGAGTGTATAAACAGTTTTCACTGCTAGTAAATTTCACAAACAATTACAAATAAATGGCAATAACACATGAAGTAAAGACTGTAACAATATTTTCAAGACATGCATAAATAATATTTATTTTTTTAATTTTACATATTTGAACATTTTTTTTTACAGTGTATTAATATATGTTAGAATTGATTTTTTTATGCAAGGTATGCACATTTTCACTTTGTCTTTTGATATGATTTTGTAAGAAGTGATGACTTATTCAGATGATGAAAATGAACACATCTGTACAGTAGTCTTGAGCGAATGAGCAGCGCTGAATTAGCACTAGGTGGCGGCAGAGATTACAGAACACTCTTTTCTGGCCCCATCTCTTTTCAGAGCGAGACGCCGCAGAGATGACAGAAACAGAAGGGGAACTTGAGCAAAGTGAAGATGAGGAGAAGCCCCGTGTAGATGCCTCGAGCAGAGGGGCCAGTGTGGGGCCCGCTGAGGCCCCTGAGGAGAGAAACGAGGAGCCACCACTCAGAGAAGTCCACACTCCTCCAGCCAACCTTCCTGTGAAGCTGCTTTCTCGACTGGGCAGTCTGGACAGTCGGTATCATTGAGAGTACAGTCAATGCATAAATAATGCATAATGCATATCAAAAGCGTAGGCTATATAATAGTTTTCTATGCCCAGAGGAGTGCTTGTTTTAAAGAATGAAACTAAATTAGTCACAGGAGTACGATCATTATTTTCTTTTTCTTTTTTTTGTTCTTGTCCATTAGGTCCCCACTCTAATCAGAGCCGTTCCGCTCCAGCCACGCTGCCCAGGAACTTCACCCTGCCCAAAGACGCCCTGAGGGGCAGGTTTTCCACCCCCACTGGCTCCCCTCTCTTAGGTCTGATGCACCCTCAGCTGCCCCCTAGCTGCATCATCGAGGAACTGCACCGTGCGCTGGCCACCAAACACCGGCAGGGCAGGTGAGACGCTCAAGTGGGACGGTCTCTCAGGCATAATTCATCCAAATTCTGTCATCATTTACTAAAAGGACCATATAAAAGTAGTTTGTTTGAATTGTGTAGTCACACGATAGTTACACTACCGTTCAAAGATTGTAAAATGCTCACCAAAACTGCATTTATTTGATCCAAAAATACAGAAATATTATTACAACTTAAAACAGCTGCTTTCTATGTGAATATCTGTTAAAATGTAATTTATTTATGTGATCAAAGCTGTATTTTCAGCGTCATTACTCCAGTCTTCGTCCCATTCGTCGATATTTGTGATATCACAAATCCCGGAAAATATGCGTTGTAGTCCAAACCAGTCGTTCGTTGTAGTTTTTAAAAAGTGATTTCTGTTAAATAAAATATCTCCTTTTGAATTGGACTTTGAGCTTTGTAACTTTGCAGATCTTTTTTATGCTCAAACAGCAACATTACAGACTAACTAAAATTGAAAAAGTGAAAAAGCATAATAGGACCGCTTTAATGTTCTTCAACAACGACAACAAAACTTTCTGACCCCGTACAGTAATGTATGTGTCATTACGCACTGAAAATCTTCCATGAGATTTTTTTTCACTGTAATTTATGCATGTGGTAATTTAATGATGGCCATTATAAAAACACATCACACCAAGTTTGACATGATTGGCTACTAACCGGTTGGGTTCTCACACATCACATTTATTGGTGAACTATTCCTATAGTGTGACTTTTCAAGTATAAACATGGTACGTTTAACTGTATTTAACCCTCAGGTGAGACAGGATTGGAAATCAAGCACAGTCAGGGAGTTCAGATGCATTATCATCCAGTTTTCAACATTTTTTTTATTTTTATGCATAGTTTCCATGGTAAGGAGATCCGTAGTTCCCCCAGACGGCGCTCGGACGGACGGCTGTCCCGCACCGCCAGCACTGAGCCGAGGGCAGAGGTGGAGAACAAAAAAGAGGCCGAAGAGAACAAGGAGAACATGCGCCTGGATGAATTCTACAGCGACCAAGACAGCTGGAACGAGTCCGTCATCTCTGGTCTGTTTCTGTGGGCATCGGTGTTAAATAAGAATCACATTTTAGATTAGCTAGTTAACAATATTTGCAAAGTGTCTGTTTAATAAAATAAACATGTAAATTCTAAAAATGACAGACTATCATTATTGCTTACACTTAGAGTTGGGGATTTGAACTGAGATTTGGGATCGGTGTTATTTTAGCATTGTTTATATTATATTATAGTATTTATTAATATATTTGAGTATATTTTAATTTAGTTAATATTTTATATTTCAAAATATTATATTTTAATATTTTACATTTCACTGCTTTTTGTTTATTTATTTATTTAAATTTTAATGTAATTTTAATTAATATAATTGTTTATATTTTCACTCTGTGGTAACATCCTGGCAACCACCCAGGTTCAGTGTCAGTGACATTTAAACAAAAAAGCACTCATATTTTCTTAAAATGTTTTTTTTTTTGGTAAATTGGTCTGAGTACCTGTTAACAATGTAGAAGTTCTTGGGCATTTTATTCTATTCAGAATACTCCTCGTGCCAGAAATGAAGAGGCTTTTCTACTTCTACATTTCATTTGTCAGCAACATCTGGTGCCCTACTTCTAATGCAGTCTGCTGTCATTACATGTGGGCCAGAGAGCGAGACAGAAGAAAAACAGGACTGAATGAAACCAGGCAGCACACACAAGTCACCAAAACAAACAGCAAATTTGAGACTTTTGGAAATATTTGATAAGGGAAATCACAAAAATATTCTATTCACAAGTGATATCTGATTTCTCTTTGTTTACTTCACACACCTTATATTTAATCTCCAGCTCTTCACTGACACCGTTGTCTCCTTGATGAACAAGTACTTTTGAAAAAAACTGTATTTGGAGCAAAATTATTGGTCATAGTGGAAATGCTACTAAATTCTCAAGAAGGCTGACAGTCAGACTGATATACATCAAATCATATAGAATGGACGTTATGAAACCTGTTGCCTCTGGGTCATGAACGTGCCTATAGTAAACCTTGTTGGTCCATTTCACCATCATAAATGACCATGTGTATGTGTATTTGGGTCTGTGCAGGTACACTTCCACGACGAATAAGAAAAGAGCTTCTGGCAGTGAAGCTGCGTAACAGACCCAGTAAACAGGAGCTGGAGGACAGGAACATCTTCCCTGTGCGCAGTGATCAGGAACGCCAGGAGATCCGCCAGCAGATTGAAATTAAGCTTGCCAAGTGAGTCTGGTTATTCCATGTCCTGTCATGCTGATGCTGTGAATGTGGAGTAAAGTTTCATGCACACATATTTGACACTGAGTGCTGAAACAATAAAGAAGCAACATTGTTTATCATACAAAAGTAAACAAAAATGCCAAAAAGATATGGGAATTTTTTTGTCCCTTTTAAATGTTCAAAAATGTATTTTCCTATCCTGCCAATGCATTACTATATGGTTAGTTGCCTTTTATTATGTGCTTTTAGCATTCTTTTTCCACTGCTGTCTGCAATCAGAACAGACCTGTGACCAAATTTCTGATGCGAAGCACAGATTGAGGACAAATATATAGTTCAGTCATGAAACTCTAGATGGCGCAGGGGATGGGTTGTTAACATAACCGATGATATTCAGAGAGTTAAACGACTTGGCACATGCTGATTTGTTCATGCTGCATATGCAGCCAGTGAGCTTACTGCCTTGCATTTATATGGCTGGCTAGCATTCACTAGAGATTCCTGCAGCGCGCTTTCAGAGTTTCTCTGAAACCCTCCACCTTCCCCAGCTCCACCTCTATAGATCTGCTACGGGTTATTTTATATGCTATTTGTGCAGCAGCAGTATGTCTTAAATACTCACAGTACTGTATCGCTGTATGCATTGGCAGTAGCAAGTTCCTGTACTTGCTTGCAGCAGCAATAATCTACAACTACAGCAATAACCAACAGCAGCAGTAATAGCAAATGCAGCAGCGTAGCAGATCTGTTCCGCCAAGACCAAATACATTAACATTGTCATATCCATCACCATGCTAAAATCTTCCGAGAGTTGTCATGATTGAACTAGTTTTAAAGATGGTCAGTGAATGACTCGTGCAATAAAAACAAATTGAGAAAACAAACTCTTCATGACCATATAGTGAAGTTATACATTTAATTTGAATAACTTTGTCATATTAAGTTAAGGGGTACTTCTTTGTTAAAGAATACAAAATTCAGTTGTTATTAAATAACCCTCAGGTTTTCATGCAACACAAAATCTAGCATAGCGTTAGTTCTGGCAGTCACGCTCCAAACTGTATGCTAATTGTCAATCATCTTTGACGATACTGGTCCTGACAGAAATTGATATTTTTGAAAAATAGTTTTGTCGCAGTATGAGATATTGGTGAGTGTTTTCATGTTTGTTTCAGGCATTGCATCTGTCATGCTTTGTCAGGTGCTTTCTTAGCCATCAGTTTAATGTTCATGCAGTGCATGTGTGTATTCAGTACCTACAGCACATATTAACTGCACTTCAGCCAGTGGGGGGAGTTACAACATTTCTTTCTGTTCCTGTGTAACTCAAGCAAACAATCACACACTAATATTGCCACCCTTTGTTTCTGTGGTATTTGAGTCGACGGACTGGGATGAGCTTGGCGAAAACTTGATTCTCTAGTCAGTGGACCATTTTGTGTTTATTTAGAGTTTTTGGGATCTGAGTGATTTAAAGGTGTGCTTCGGATCATTGTTCTGCTAAAAGATTCAACCACAACCAGTTTAGGCTTTCAGAGTCAGTCAGCTATTGATTTAACATGAACTAGTAGTTTATGATATTGTTTCTCCTAACGAGGTCTAGGGGCCTTTGAATGAAAAATATGCCCCACATCCATCAGTACACTTGCCAGGAGAGATGAGCTACCTTTTATCAGCCAGAACTTCTGTCAGTGCCAAATCCATCCCTAGTTTTGACGCATTTCACTGTTTCGGTCTCATTTCACTACAGAAACAAGTTCCAGTAATGTTTGGCAAACAGCAGGCGCATGAGTTTGTTATCTGATGATAGCAAAAGCTTTTCTCTTAGTAACCCTCCCAAACAATTTGTGGTTATGTAGGTGGCGTCTGATGGTAGTTTTGGAAATTTTCTGACCCCAAGACCAACTCAAGTCTGCAATTCTTCAACTGTGAACCTGACAGATTTTTAAATGAGTTTATGTATATGTTTGTGCTGTAAAAAATGATGGATTTAAACATTTGAACAAATAAATCAGTTGAAAAACAGAGAGTGGAGTGGGTCTTACAAAAGGTAAATGGTTTAGATATTTAAGGGTGTCACAGATTTGCATAGAGCAAGAGTCAGATAAACCTAATTTATCAGGCTCTACAGAAAGCTTTAGGCCATGCCGCTTTCAGGGTAGCCAGATGTCCTGTGTTTCCTGGAAAATACAGGACTATCCCATGCAAAACAGGACATCTGCTTACCGTAAGTGGTCTGAAAGCCATTTCATTTAGAGAAAAAAACAATCAACACAGACGTTGTAAACCTGCTCATTCTTACAACAGTAATTCATGGTTGTGTTGCAGTGGTATTTTTATTCTCGCTTTGAATTTAGTTTCTTGTGTTTTTTGATAGTGGTTGCATAAGCCTATGAAATAAGACCACCTTCAGGCATCCTCATGAGATGGGCTCATTTATCATTTATGTTTCTTGCTTAAGTTGCTTAAGTCATTAACTAGTTATGCTAATAATAATAAACAGCCATTTCTGCCAGTGTCCTCTTGGTTCCAGTGTATTCCTCCTCCTCAGCTGTGACTATAAGTGAACTAATAAAATATTAATGAGAACATTGTGTGTAATCCCAATGGCTGTAAATAACTGGAGAGTTGCTGGAGAAAGAGAATCATAACAAAGACTGCTAGCCAGCCACTGTCTAATGAATGCTTCCATGAAGCAACGACTGATTTTTCTACCCGTGCTTTCTGTGTATGCACATTGAATTTGTTTTGCATTGATTGGTTGTTCCACATGGTGGCAGCACTAATGCTTGGTGTTGTTTTGCAGTCAAAAAAGAAACGGATGAGAAAGGAACAACCTAGCAACAAACTAGTGGAGAATGAAACAACAATAGACAGCCACATTTGTGTCAGGGGGTTCAGATATCCACAAAACTCTTGTTTAAAAGAATATAAAGATACATGTAAGTGATACATTTCGTATTGTTTCTGTCTTCTGGAGAGAAATAGCACAGACACTGGATAAAGACGATACTTTGGAAGGCTATGTGAAAGGCATATGCTGCATAAGTATGCTTTGGGCTTTAGTGACAACAAAGTCCTTGAGTGTAAATCTTTGGGATTATTTTGCCCATTGTATCACCTGCCGGGTGATTATCGTTTCACAATTTAGCTAAGTACGAGGTAGGGCTGAAACCATTAGACGGCATTATCGACAACGTCGACAATAAAAAATGCGCCCGTGCTGCTGAGAGTGACATTTAGATGAATATGCAAATATATGCTGCGCACTTTCCTCTCAATGACAAAATAAACACAAAACAAACATGATAGCAGTGAGAAAGGATCTGATCTTAGTGATGTGGATATGTTTGCACAGCTCTACAGTCGGCACTAAAGTAAAGTCACGTCACGTTTATCTATATAGTGCTTTATACAATGGATTGCTTTAAAGCAAGCAGCTTTGCAGTATTTAACATCAAAAAGAAAAACAGTGTCAGTGTCGCTTTCAGTTAGAATTACAACTTGTTTTTCTGCTATAAAGCAGCTCTATATGTATATGAATATGTATAGTATATATATGACTCAATATTGTAATGAATTGCAAATGGTGAATAATCGATCAAAGCCTACTGATTGATCTGTGAAAAAATAGGCAATTATATTAATCGTTGTAATAATCTTTAAATTAATTGATCAAATTTGTCAGTAATAAGGAGGTTGCTCCTTCATAGGTGGGCATTATGCTTTGTGAGTGGTTGCATGCGATTTCTAGGGTGTTCTGGGTGTTTACTTGGTGTTGCTTACTTGCCAGGCAAGAAGAGCCCACCCAAACGTTTCTGTAACATTCTCTCATTATCTCATTCATTGTAAGTCGGAGGGATTTTCAAGGCCCTGATATACGTCTCATTTTCTGCTCAGGGGTGAACACAAGTTCGGAATAGTTGCACAAAGGTACTGTTTGCGAATGTACTGTATGTGCTGCACAATGTCCTCCACCGATATGCCAGCAGTAAGAAAAGAGTGGTTACAACAGCATCTGATCATAGGGATGTGGATATGTTTACACCAGCTCTGCGGTTCAACACTCTGGGTTTATGTTTTTTTTTACTCATGTCTGACCTCAATGGACTGAGCGAACAAATGAAGATGAAAAGATTTCCACGCCAAAGAAAGTTGAGTCGCAGAGCACACTTACCTATTCTGTAATCATAATTGAAGGTTTTAAACAGCCAAGGCCAAGTTTCTATTGGGGCCTTCATCGTCAGAACGAGAAACTGTGAGTTTGGCCACTTCATATACACTGAACAAAATTATAAACGCAACACTTTTGTTTTTGCCCCCATTTTTCATGAGCTGCTTTAACTCACCTATTCCAGTCATCCCCTTACCCAGTCAATAAACCATCCTGATTTGCACTTACCTGTTGTGTCTGGCCTTGCTTTGTGACAATATGCCACTAACACAGATTTAGACAGATTTGTGAACAATATTTGAGAGAAATAGGCCTTTTGTGTACATAGAAAAAGTCTTAGATCTTTGAGTTCAGCTCATGAAAAATGGGGGCAAAAACAAAAGTGTTGCGTTTATAATTTTGTTCAGTGTAGTAGCAGTGAAGCTCCCTTCAACAAGACACATGAATTGAGGAATCTTTCATATCTGTAGCACACTGATGCACACTGAAGTGCAATACTTAGGGGCAGATTTACTATTATTATTATAATAATTAGTCTGCATATTATTATAATATTGTTTCACTGTATGTCTTTAGTAAATGGACACTAGTTTTTTAACACCAAAAGAGGGTCTGCACTGTCACGAGCGGTTTGTAAATCTGGATCATAGTGTTAGAGGTTTGTTCAAATCACTGCAACTTATATAAGACTGTTAGGAGCAAAATCTGAGATCAGAAGATGTTCTGGGAAATTCAGTGATGAGCTCAATTTTAATGGTCGTTTATAATCTTTAGTCCATTGTTGGCAATCTGTTGTTGAAATCTGGATGTTCAGAATTGAAATGTTGCC